TTCATGCGGTTCAACGGCGGACTGGCAGCCCGTGATTCAGTGTCGCGGCTGTTCGGTGTGGCAGCATCGGCAGTGCGTTGGGTTGGCGGTTCAGGGCCCGGGTTCGCGGCCGGCGGGTGCCGGGGAGTTTTACTGCGAGGTGTGTCGTGCGAAGCGGGCTGACCCTTTCTGGCTGGTGGAGGACTCCGAAGGCATCACGTCGGTCATTCGGCTGTCGTCGACGGGGAAGCAGACGTCGGTGAGTGCATGGTTGGTTGGGTGGGGTGAGGGGGGGAATGGGGGGGGGGAAGACGAACCACGAGCGAGTGAAGGTGATGCCAAGGAAAGACTGATAGGGGAGGTGCGGGGGGTTTGGGGGGATGGGTTAGTTGCGATGAATGCTTGGTCAGGTGCGCCGTTGTGAAAGGTAGCGGTAGCAGCGCAAGACGACAAGCGTGGTAAACTTGGGAAAGTGGTAGCGCTGCTGGTGGTGATGGTGATGGTGATGGTAACAATAGCAATGACCGCCGCCGCTTTCAGAGGTTGCGGTTTTTAAGAAATGCTTTGGGAAGCTGCGGGGCATGGTAGTGGGGGCTGGCTGCGGGGGGGGACGGCCTCCATGCCGCCCTTTACCTGCCGTTATTTTACAACAGGTAGTGCTGCTGCTGCTACCGCTGCTGCTACTGGTGCTGTGGTATTTGTTCAGGTGAATGGTTCCATGCAACACGTTCGATCAGCAGATCGCACCTTCGTATTGACATCCCAGCACATGCAGAAGTTGAAGAGCCGCCAGGGGGATCACCAACTGCAGGTATCAGGGGCGCGGGTGGAGGCAGGGGTGAAAGGGAGGGGAGAAATGCTTTTGTATGTGTATATATATGTAGGTGTGTTTTTGTTCGTGAGTGCGATTGATCACCCCGCGGGGTGGGGGGGGTAAACGCCTCCGGCCGTATGGGCCCCAAAGCGCAGCACAGCGAGGGGAGGCCTGCCGCACCAACTGACCATCCGCACTCACCCCGCTCCTCCCCTCCCTCCCCCTTGACTTGGACTTGTACTTGTACGGCAGTCGGTGTCTTGCGCGCCATCGGCAGCTATTGATCTTTCACTCCTATCATCGTCATCATCATCCCCCCCCTCCCTGTGCGCCCAGTTGGGTTGTCTGCAGCTGAACGACCCGGTGCCGTACCGCTTCCACTGGCCGCTGGGTGCCGACCTGCGCATCAACAACGTGCAGTACCGGGTGTACTCGCGGAACAGCACCCAGAAGCTGGGGGCCAATGGCCGGGACGAGCCAGCCAACATTGGCCAGCTGTGGAGCAGCGCGGCGGGAGGTGGGTGGGGCGGCCGGGGTGGGGAGGGGGGGTTAAGCGAGAAGAAGTGGGGGGATGGGTGGAGGAAAGGAAGTGGGGGGTGGGGAGGGGAGGCCTCCGGCGGCACCCTGGTCACTACACGCTCTCGTCACGACACACGGCGCACGTGCACCATCGCCCTCTGTAGCCGTCCACCTCCCCTCTCCCCCCCAACCCACCCCGCCTTTCCCCCCCAACCCACCCCGCCTTCACCAGCCGTCCACCTCTCCTCGTCCAGTACCGAACTCCGCGATGTCCCCTGGGACTGAAGCCGGGCACGAGCCCCCTCCTCATGCTCTACACGCCCACCCGCACCCCACCCCCCGGGGGAGGGGGCTAACGCAGTTAGTTTTTGAAATCCGTATGTGCTTCCCCCCCCCTCGCCCCCACTCGTCAGGTCGCTTCCACGTGACAATGCAGTGTACGGACAGCTCTGTGTACGTCATGGTGGTGCTGCTCGTAAAGCGGCGGAGCTGTGAGGAGGTGCAGGGCCTTATGGCGCCACAGCTCAGTGTACGGGACGCAGTGGAGAGGGTGCGACAGCAGGTGTGTATATGTGGTGGGGGAGGGGGAGGCAGAGAACAGGCACATGCGTGTATATGTATGTATGTATGTATGTATGTATGTATGTATGTATGTATGTATGTATGTATACTGCGAGGTGGGCGGGGGTAGGGAGAACCTCGACGGCGACCTTTGCGAGGGGTGGGGAATGTGTTTCGCGTCTCGCGTCAGCACCGGCGCTGTTTGTTCAGTACGTAGTGTTGGACGCTGCACGGGGTCTCAAGTGAGAGAGGGGGGAGAGCGACTGGCTGGTTGACGGCTTGGTCACCTAGCTGTGGGCCTTTGCCGTGGCTTGGTTGGTGGTGGCGCTGGTGCTGCCGATTGTCGTCCGCAGCTAAGAGACGTGGTGTGGGAGGAGCATGGTGTGGGAGGAGCGACGAGGGTATGTACACACGTATGTATGTGTGTCTGTCCTTACCTTACGACTTAGACAGATGATCCCACAACCCCCCTGTGGGGGAAGTGACCGCCAGCACCGCCAGCAACACCACTGATATGATGTTTGCATGCTGAAAATGATTCGCCACCACACTTGACAGCTGCCCGACCCCTCTTTCCCTGCCTCTCCCCTCGCCCCGCCCCAATGCCCTTTACGGCGTGCGGCAACCCATCTGGCGTACGGCATTCTGACACGTGCCGTATCGGTGGGTCGGTCGGCTCCTGCACTTGGTGCCGCACCCGCCGTATGCGTATGCGTCTGTGTATGTGTCTTTGTATGTGTCTGTGTCAAATTGCCACTTCCCTCCCATCTTTTCTTACATCGGTCCGCGTGGGGTTGTGTGTGTGTTTTGTCGTACATATGTGTGTGTATGTATGTGTGCATGTGTGTTTGTTGACGTGTCCGTGTATTATTAGTTGGCTCGCGACGATGACGATGAGCTCCAAACTGGCGCCACAGTGGTGTCCCTCCGCTGCCCCATCCTGGGGGCGCGGGTGCACACGCCGGCGCGGTTTGTGGAGGTGCGCGGTCTGGCGTGTTTCGACCTGAGGGCCTTTCTGGACAGCGCCGCCCGGACCCGGAAGTGGCAGTGCCCCATCAGCATGAACCACAGCACCGTACACTCGCTGCAGGTGAGCATGGGGGACTGGGGCCCATGGCGGTGGCGGTGGGGGTGGCTGTGGGGGGGAGGAGAAGAAGGATGGTGGATTGTGTGGAAGAGGGGAGGGGTTATTTAGAGGGCTTGTGGGAGGGGAGGGGAGGGGGGTGGTCGGAAGGGTTCGTTTTCTGAATGCGTGAAATAAGCAGGAAAAAGGAAATTTTGTATGTATGGATGGATGTATGTGCGCAAGGGTTACACGCTCCTGGATCGCAAAAAGGGGGGAGGCGTCTGCGTAATCCTGAGCCCCCTCCTCATGGGTGGTGTCATAGACATAGATATGCCTGTCTATCAGCTACGACACTGCCCGACCCGTCCAGGGTTGTCTTTCCCCCTTTCCTTCCTTAGGGGACTGCCCCTGCCCCTGCCTCCAGCAGCTGCTCAGCTCGCTCGCCATCTTGCCCTCTGACCCGTGCATTCTTCCTCTTCCTCCTCGTCCTGCCCCTGCCCCTATCGCCAGATCGACACCTACATGCAGCGCATCATCTCGGCGCTGGCAGACCATCCCGCCGTCATGGAGGTGGAGGTGGAGGCGGATGGATCCTGGCGACCGGCGGGCTGGCGGGACAGGTTCTACAGCGTGACGGAAGACAACCCGCTGAAAGCAGCACCAACGGCAGGGATGGCGGGCAGGGCGAGCGCCGCCGGTGAGGAAAGCAGCGACGGCGAGGAGACGGACGAGGAGGAGGAGCTGCGTCGCGCGGCAGCGGCGGTGTCGGCAGCAGCGGCGGCGGCGGCGGCGGGCCAGAAGCGCAAGCGGGCGCCGTCGCCAGACGTCATAGATTTGCTTTCCTCAGACGAAGACGACGAAGGAGGCCGCCGTGGCGGTGGCGGCGACGGCGG